TTTTATGATTTGCTGTTATGTTTTGGTTGATGAAGCTGGGATGAAGAAGTGTTTTGCATATTTTAACAATTTGTTTTTTTTACTTGGTAATTTTTGCATTTTTATATTCAATAAGTATTTTTTCCAAGCTGTTTGAGTAAAATTCTAAATAAAAAGGTTTGAGTTGGTTTTGCCTTACGATCATGAAACTTATTAGTAGGTTTCGTTGTAGTCGTATGCCGTCTCCTGTCCGAGGTTTTCGGCCAATACCGGGTAGCTCAAGTTTTGTTCGGAATATTGGCTCTGATTTTTTTGAAAAGTTGTTGTCTAATTTTAATCTAATGTTTTGGTAAGTTCTAATCTAAGTTGTTTAAGGTCTTGCTCGAGACTTTTTGTCGCACCAGATGAGTTAAGGCTAATGTTCATAATTTATAGAGTAATTTAAGATAGGGTACACCGTCTGCTCGTCACGCTTATTTTCGTCACTCGTCACTCTTATTTTCGGCCGGATAGATTCGGGCAACTTCTTAGTCTATTACCGATCTTCATCTTACTCTTATATCTCCTAGTCTCAATAGATCTCGAGTATACTGTTTTGTTACGAGTCGGTCTCTTGGAGAAAGCAACTATGTTCTAAGTTAATTTCAAATCTCTCTGGTGCTGAAATTACAAGTGAAATTAAATTTTAGCACTTACAAATAAGTGGGTTTTTAGTTTGATGGAGTTTGATTGGTTAGTCTTCAATATTTTATAGGGATAAAATATATGAATCATAACCAATAATAAAAATTAGTTTGAATCTGGTTCCAACCCTTCAGATGTTTTTCTGGCTAAATCATATTGCGTAAAAGCCTTCTAAGTTCAATAATTCCTCCCAATCATTAGGGGTGGTCAGAATAGCAACAATCGTTTTTGGTGCCACCTAAAAAAATTGTTCCTGAATTGATAAATAATATAAGCGAGACTGCTGTGTTCAAACAAGCTTCTTTTAGCCAATGCTTGATCCATTTTTTTCGTAATCTATGCTTTTTGCAAGTTTTTGTTAATCTTACAACAAGGAGACATCCAAACGGCAATTTCAGGACTTAATTTTGTGTAAATTAGACAACCCGGGTTGACCTCCTTAGAAAAAAATGCTTATCATACAATTTCATTCAAAAAAACTGCTTATCATACAATTCCATGCATGGGTTTTATGGAAAAATTGTTTATCATAGAATTTCCATTATGTAAATTGTTTGATAAGCTTTTTTTTTTCATTTAATTTTTTTTTTCAGGAAAACCTTTAAAAAGAATTTTTTGTAAGTTTAAGTGAGCTTGCTACGTTTTCTGATTGTGTTAGATCAAGTTGGTCCATTTTTTTCTTCATTTCTTTTTGACAATAAATGTTTATCATACGATTTCCATTCTATGAAAAGGATATAATAATCGTTTTTTCGAAAAACAAAATCAGTAATTTTGAAAATTTGCCCGAAAAAAAAATATTTTTCAACCGCAAATCGAATTTTCTACCGCAAAAAATTTCGCCACATTTTAAAAATTTGTAATATTTATTAAATCATCTGTCAAAGACAGCTCGAAGACAATTCAGATCGTTTTCTTTGTATTTTACAATGCATGAGACCGTTAAAACTTTGGTGCTTTGAGTAACCAAGGTCTTTGACGCTTGGGTTCGGTTGCAAACAGAACCCAAATTGTTTCAGAAAATAAAATTAGAAACAAAAAATAACTCTTTGGTTTGAGGCAAAAACACCTATCATACAATTCCGTTTAATGGAAAAATTGCTACCCTACAATTCCATTGTAGTGAAAAAACGGTTATCATCTAATTTTCATACGATTTTTTTATTCTATGGAATTTAATGGAATCGACTCATAAGCTATTTTTCCACAGTATGGAATTGTTTGATAAGCATTTTTTTCATTTAATTTTTTTTCAGGAAAACCTTTAAAAAGAATTTTTTGTAAGTTTAAGTGAGCTTGCTACCTTTTCTGATTGTGTTAGATCAAGTTGGTCCATTTTTTTCTTTATTTGTTTTTGACAAAAAAATGTTTATCACACGATTTCCATTCTATGAAAATGGTATAATAATCGTTTTTTCGATAAACAAAATCAGTAGTTTTGAAAATTTGCCCGAAAAAAATTATTTTTCACCGCAAATCGAATTTTCTACAGCTAAAAATTTCGCCACATTTTAAAAAATTGTTATATTTATTAAACCATTTGTGAAAGACAGCTCGAAGACAATTCAGATCGTTTTCTTTGTATTTTACAATGCATGAGATCGTTACAACTTTGGTGCTTTGAGCAACCAAGGTCTTTGACGCTTAGGTTCGGTTGCAAACAGAACCCAAATTGTTTCAGAAAACAAAATAAGAAACAAAAACCTCTTTTTGGTTTAAGGCAAAAACACCTATCATACAGCTCCGTTTAAGGGAAAACATTGCTACCATACAATTCCATTGTAGTGAAAAAACGGTTGTCATCTGATTTTCATACGATTTTTTTTCTATGGAATTGAATGGAATCGACTCATAAGCTATTTTTCGACAGTATGGAATTGTATGATAAGCATTTTTTGTCAACCCAGGAATTTAAGAAAAAAGGAAAATTTAAATGGAGGCTGCCTGCGTTTTGCCCCGTGCTGTCTTTAACTTAAAATAACATTGACGGCAAGGACCATAAAATCTGATGATCATTGATATATTTGGAACGAAACGAAACGAAACCTAAAATCAGCGCAGAAATTAAAGAGAAAGAAAGAGACATTTTAAAAAATCTAACGAAAGAGAACTACTTAGGTTCGTGAGATTTTGAGATTTTTGTGTGATTCCTCTCTCTTTGGGTGTAATTATCAGAACAAAGTCATTTTTTACAACGATATTTGTAAAATTTGCTTTAACTTGAAAATCCTTAGACTCTCAATTAGATGCTGATTTCAAATATCCGGAAAAACGAAACTTAAAACTTTGTTTCAAAAACTGGGTTAGTTTCAGACAAAAATGATGATCACAAATATTGTATAAATTTTTAGCCGAACTAAAACTATGCATTTTATTTTGTGATTTTTTGGTTATTTAGTCAATCAAAAATTACACATCAATTTTTAGTTCATTTGCTAACAAAAAACTATCAAAGTTAACTCCTTATGAAGCCTAACAATTGTAAGAAAGGTAGTCTCTGAATCTGACGCATAACCTTTAGAAAATGGTTTTGAACTTAACGTAAAATCATTCTGAGGGCTAGCGATAGCTATGAATTTTTTGTTAGAAACATTGAGATAACTGCTTTGCAAAAAAACTATTGTAGCAATTTAATTATGATAAAACTTTAAGTAAGACATTATTTTTCAATTTTGTCTTAAAACACCCGAACTTTGGGAACACTCGTTTTGAAATTGAAGAGTTTTTTGTTCTGTCCGGATGATATTAATCTGCATTGCATGTCCTAACGTTCACACGTCCCATTATAATTAAACTCGATTTTCGGACTAATAAACTTAAGCGGCCTAAATTCAAACAAAACTGCTCGTATCAGGGCAAAACCTTGAAAATTTCGACTGCCTTTTAACGTTTATGGAGCAGTAATAACATAAACAAGATAAAAAAATAAATGAAATAAAATAAAATGAAAAAAAAAATTTCTAAAATTTGAAACTTTTTCTATGAAAATCATCCCCCCTGGCCATATACAGTACAAAACAATAGATTTCGCTCGTTGTAATAAATCACTTATGGTAAATAAGCTTCTTACAAACAATTTGGAACGATTTCTAAGACGGATTAAGTCTCCGCCTACGCGTTAATAGCGCGAATTATATCGCGCGTTAGTTGTCCCAAATTGGTCAAATTGGTAAACCCTCATAACTCTACGAAAAATGATGACACGTAAAATATCTTTTCAAATTCAAGCTCAGGCCAACAATAGCTTTCGAATGATATAAAAAATTTCCATCAAAAATGACTAGTTAAAAAGTCGAAAAAAGAAAAAACAATCCACCCCGAGCACAAATATTCCGTTACTTTCGTACCGAAAGTCGGAACAACGACAAATTAGTGAACAGCAATTGCGCTAACAGAGGCACTCTTAGAGGATTGTCAAAGTTGCAATAAAAAGTCGAGTTGGTAGTCTTTGTCCATTTGAACAGTTTTTGGAGCATTTTGACTGCTTTTTGATCAAACTTTGAAGAAAGAGATGCTTTATTTTTGATCGGTACTGTTTTATCCTCCAGACTAAAATCGATTTCACAACTCAAGAACTTCGCGGAGTTTTTAATATCATCTGGAAGATATTAATGTCAAAATATATCGAAATATAAGAAATCAGCTGCGCATACTGCTCTTAATGATTGATTGATATCTAGACTACAAGAATGATTGATCAATATAGTTCAATTTGGGATAGAAACGCACAGTATATTTCGTCCTAATAAAGCGATAGCGGCTAGTTGAATAAACGGTGTCAGGACAAAAGATAACATAATAAAAGCTCCTATGACAAAAGATACCGTACCAAAAGAATCCTTGTACAAAAATTGCCCATAACGTAAGATCCCACGCCAATTTAAAAATTCCCATGAGTTATGAACAAACATCATGATCAAAATGTAAGCAGAAAAAAATCGGGAGTAATGAAATCTCAATTAGGTTCTCGCTATTAAAAAACAACGCAAATTTGAGATAACTAAATTTAAACTGTACTGATTTTTGGGAACTTCTCGTTTGGGATATTAAGGTAAGGGATCTTTTGTAAGACAAGCATATTGCTATTCTTAATGAACTATGAGAACAAAATTGATTACTATGTATTTAACACGGCTTTTGTTAGATGGTAAAACTAAGAACCAAAAAAAAGAGAAAAACAAAAAATGCATGATTTTCCACAACTTGACAATCAGAAATTTTATTTGGTCAATTTTCCAACGTCAAAAGTCAGTGGGAACATTCGTGGCTTTGCTCTAACACGAACCGTCTTGCTTATTTTGGGAATTAATGGGATCATGAAACTTTTGAACACTCACCGAAATTCCACTGAAATGAGTATATCAATCAATAAGCACACGCACTGAAATTAAATTTATGAAAGAAAGCAAACGGAGAAATCAAATTGGTTTGTTTGCTTTTGGTCGAGGGTTATCAGCTCATACGAAAAGTATTTGAAATTTGTTTTTGCGTCCTCTGTCGCCATAACTTGCACCAAGTAGAAACATTGGTTTAGCAAACGACGCAATTGTTAAATGTTATAGAGTCAGCTACATTTCAGGCCTCATTTTCCAATTTCTATCACGTAACAGGGTGGAACAAGACGTCTTACCCGCACCGGAGTTCCATGGATAATAATCGATTAGATTGAATTTTCGTGGTCTGTCTCAATTGATAATAATCGATTGTAATCGATTGAAAAGGGATTATAGTGAAACTATTTTTCTATTCAATAAAATCCGAATACAATCGATTATAATCGATTATAATCGATTATTTTTGAAAGAAAATGAAACTTGTTTTCGAGGCGAAATAATCCATTTTTAATCGATTATAATCGATTATAATGGATTTTTCGAAGGGTTATTCTTGAAATTTACAATTTTGCTCAAAATTATCTCATTCCCTGTTTAGTGCAGTTGCTACGAATTACGTTTCACAAAATGTTACATTTCAGAATAAAATTTATATTTTTTTGTCTCCACTTTTTTAAATTCATCGCAGTTTAACTAACACTTCATTTCACTGTTTTTTTAACCAAAAACCTAATGAAACTAAATTTTCAGGGGTTTGAATTAGATTTTCATAGCTTCCCCCGCCGGAGTTCCATGGATAATAATTATAGGTTTTTTTAACCCAGTTTTTTTACCCCCCCCCCCCAGTTAAGCCCCTAGTTTACTACCCCCCACCCCACCGCTTACTCCCCCTCCCACCATTTACCCTCCCCCAGTTTACCAGTCCTCGGAAGTTGGCGACCCCCCCTACAGCAACCCCCCCCCCACAGCTTCTCCCCCTCCAGCTGAGGGGGAGGGAGGAAGTTTGAGGGGGCGAGGGGATGACGTTGAGACATGCCATGTAATAAAAGACATGGCATAAATTCTGCAATTTTCGGCTCTTTTTCATTTCCCCCCCCCCCCCCCCCCCCCCACCTCGCACAAACATGAATTTCATAGTCTAACGAGTAGTTTTACAAGGTTAATTGTGAGGACCAAATAATTTTGTTATGGCCTAATCAGTCTGCATGTCAATTTTCATGACAATCGGACAAAGTGAACAATAATTTCAAATTGATAAATTTGCGGGTGGGGGTGGAAGGAAAAAGAGCCCAATTTTCTCGCAAAATTTGCAATATTTTGAAAAAATAGTCGAATTTAGTTCTAAAAATGCAATAGATTATAATGGATTATTTTGGCAAAAATAATCTATTTCAGTGACAAAAAGAATGGATTATAATCGATTATAATTGATTATAATGGATTTTTATTTTTCAAAAAAATCGATTTTAATGAACACGTAATCGATTACGTGGTCTAAATTTGTCACAATAATGGATTATAATGGATTATAATGGATTATAATGACAACATTTTAGACAACATTTTTCCATTATAATCGATTATTATCCATGGAACTCCGGTGCGGGTGGCAAATTGGAAAAGGTGGGCAGTCAATAGGCAGACTGGTCTAAGAGCAGAAAGGGTCCAAGAGCAGAAAAACAAGAAAAACGTCAAATTTTTTATGCTAATCGGTAAATCAAGTATAAGAATTGTCAATATTACCAAATAAGCAGTAGTTTATGCATAATTTGAATAATTTAATCAAGATTTTTTTAAAATTGAATTTATAAAAAGTTGATAAAATTATTCAAAACATGCATATTTCATTCATTTTCTTGGTGTTATTGACGATTATACTAATTGCTCAAACAGTTAGCCCGTATTAAACAATAACAGTTAATATTTTACCGTTGTTCTGCTCTTGGACCCATTATGCTCTTAGACCATTCTGCTTTTTGCTCCGCCTCCATTGGAAAAATTTGACGAATACTTTCTATTTTGTCCACATTTAAATGAGCAATTTCTGTGCTTGCTCACTTCTGAACTACACAGCCAGTTTTCTTAGAAAATGGAACATAATGGAACAGTAAAACTTTAAGACTTATACGTTAAATTTTGTCCACAAAAGGAGAGACCCGCACCGAGCGCCCATGGATCATAATCGATTATGTTGTCATAATATGGCCAGCATCTATAAAATGACAAAATAATGGATAAGATCCATTAAAAATTGATTATAATCCCAAAATTTTTTTATGTCAATATAATCCATTATAATCGATTATGAATCTATTAAAATGATTTATAATCATAATTTTTTATGCCAATAAAATCCATTATAATCGATTATATTGGATTTTTTTGAGGGGTTATTCATGAAAATACCGTTTTCATTGAAGTTATCACATTTTCTCTTTAGTGCAGCTGCTTCACGTTTCATAAAATTATCTTGGCAAAAAAAATCGATTTCAATGACAAAAATAATGGATTAAAATGGCAATATAATCGATTTCGTGGTCTGAATTTTACATCTGTAATGGATTATAATGGATTATTTTTGTCTCGGAAATCCATTACAATCGATTAGAGTCTATGGGCGCTCGGTTCGGGTAGCAAAGAGTGCGCTTGTTCACCTCTGAATTCAATAGACGCAAGTTAGAGGCATTAACAAAACTGCTAGTATCAGGGCGAAATTCTGAAGGTTCCGGATGCCTTTTAAGTTTTAAGGAGCAGTAATAAGAAGAAAAAATTAAATGTAATCAAGGAAAACTAAAATTACCCTCACAAGCCACATCACGAAAAAAAGATAGATTACGCATAGTTTGGTGCCGCATGGATAATTGAAAATGGTAAAACAAAGATGTATGGCTAGCAATTTTATTTTTACAACTATAGAGTTGTATGACTAGCATTCGTCTACTAATTATAATCAAGACTGCTCGTATCAGGGAAAATCTTGAATGTTCCGACTGCATTTTAAGGTTTAAAGAGCAAAAAAATTAACATAAAAAAAAATTTAATAAAATGAAATGAAAAAAAAAACATAAAAATTGTTTTTTTTTGAAAAAATCCCCCCACACGCCATATCAAATACATAAGGATAGATTTCGCTCCTAGAAACAAATCAATTATGGCGAAAAAGCTTCCTTGAACAATTTGGAACAATTTCTGAAACGTATTAAATCTCCGCCTATTCGTAAATGTTGCGACAAAATTCGCGCTTTAATTGTCCCAAATGGGTCAAAATTGCAATCTTTAAACCCCCAAAACTTAATGAAAAATGATCACAAGTAAAATATTTTTTCAAATTTAAGCTCAATACAACAATAGCCTTTGAAAGATTCAATTAATTCCGTCAAAAAAGGCTTTTTAAAGAGTCGAAATTGGTCTGAGAGAAAAAGCCAGTCCAAGCACAAATATTCCGTTACTAAAGGCTATGGTGAGTTCCATTAAATTTGGCAGATTTAGCACTTTGTAATAGGTCTCTGCAAAAGTGTTTCAAAAATAAGCAAACCTGTGCTGAATTTTAAATACCAGCGATTTTCACTGGAAATTGTTTATCATTTGAAAGCCCGCATCTGTCCATAGAATTCAAAAAAAAAATTGGCTCAGCGTTTGACTCTAAAGTTTAGATTGTCATTCAATTTCGCAAACTTTTGCGCACCAGCCAAAACCCATCTAATGCTTAACTGGGTGCTTTTCAAGAATAATTAGAGAAATTTCGCCATTTAGCATCCAACTATTCCAATATTTTTTGGAGTACTTAAGACCTAAGATTTAGAATGAGTCTCGAAGACACGCGAAAGCAGCCAAGATTGATGGCTATAAAAGTGTAAACGGAATCAGGAAAAGAAAAGCCCGGTGAAATTACCTTATCCACTATTCTAACACGTTGAATGGCATAAAGGCTGATATAGGAATGCCGTTTTAATACTTTTGAATATGAAGTTTGATAACTTCACAAAAACTAAAACATTTCCGTCATCAGCATACCTGTTGTAGGGCAAACTTTTTTCTGACGTAACTTTATAAATTTATCGCAAGATTAATGTAAAATTTTTAGAGATATTGCAAAAGCACTGTAAGATCTCGCAACACAAACCAGCAGAATCAATCAAATAGGATAGGGTAGTTTACGTACAATAGCATCAATTTAGGTCATGAAGCAGCCCAAGTAGCAAGCCATTTACGAAAGAAGATTTTTTTAGCGTTTCCTATTTTTATTCAGTTCTTGAACCGAGAGTTCCATTTTTTTCCATTTAATTGTACAGAATGCTTCAAAAATGGGCGCAATTACATTTATTTCAGCACAAAAAAATAGGAAAGCGCGACACTGTTTGAAAATGAGATGTAAAATTGTCAAATCGTCTAGAAAAGACAAGTCAGCTTCGCTGTGGGATTGTTAATTTTTTATTTGGGCAAGATTCCGCCCGATTTTGTAGAATATTGCAACCAAGATAAATTTTGATTCAAGCAAGCTTGCAAAAAAATGGGCATCACCTGTGGTAAAGAATACATGCCGATAGTGCAAATTAAAAAAAACAGATTCGATAACTCCTTAAGTTGATTTTTTGGACAATTTGACAAAGAAAAACTTAGATATAAAAAATAAGTTGTAGGGTAAAAAATATTTTCAAAAATTCAGCGTTTATTTTAATTGCTATGTTCAATTTTGATATGAATTACAGCAAGATCGGAGTTGCGGGATCTTGTTTTGAAGAATTTAAAATATTATTGACCATTTTTGAGTATAACTGAGGCGTTTTGCGCGGCAATTTAAAACAAAAGTAAGGTTAAAAAAGTGCTCTAAATTTGCAAAATAAACAGTCCAGTTGCTGCCTGAACTGTCCTGTTCTTTCAAAAACTTGGGCTGTTTTTTCAAAAAAATTGTGTTGCGATAGCTAGGAAAATCAATTTGAGAGGCCAATGTTTTTTTAAGATTTCCCTTATTCATCGTGACAAGTTCTAGATTGCCTCTGGATGATAACCCGATTAAATTTTTCACCAGTTTTCACATACGTTTCGATCTTGTAACTTCATTTGTACCTACAAGCCAATTGTAGTCCTATTACTTTTGCTTTACTTTGAAAGCT